AAAGCAAATTTACTGCTTTTTCCATATGAGGTCGTATACTTTGAATTAAGCTAAATTAATCCACACAATTTTATGGCTAAAATGTCTTTGTTAATCCCAGGCATATTGTAAAATGGCTAACAACATATTCAAAATACTAAAATCACAGAAAATACAGAAACAATTGTCCTCATGCCTAGACTTTAGCCCTACGTAAGCAGGGCCCTGGATGATCCACTTGATCCTGCCATTAATGGATTCCCCAAGCTTGTGCAAAGGCCACAAGATCCTGGCGAGATTTTAGTCCACAAAATGTGCACCATGAGTCCCCGGGCACTTCCTACCCAAAGGCTAAGTTTGATGCAAAATATAGAAAGGAACTGTGAAAACTCAGAATGAGATTTAGATTAAATATGTAACTAATGAAGAGTTGAGTGGTATTACTGAGCTGGAATGACTGCAGCTTCTCAAAATGCAGGGATACTGGGCTGTCCTAGGGTTACATGTTATTTGGACAAAGCCTAGGTTACTGATTGAGTTGGGGTGTCTAATACTGATTTGATCTTCCCATACTTGAGTTAAGCATGTGGGAAACATGAGAACTGCTGAGCATGAATGTGTCCAGCATGCCTGTACCGCGTGTGGTTTTAGTTTCTTCCTGAGCTTTTCTTGACAGCCCCCCAAATTTTGCTTCTGGTTAGGAGCTTGTGTGTCTCTGCGAGTGAGTGTTTTTACCTGGAATACTGGGGTGGTTCAAGGCAAGAAGGTTGCTCGGGGCAGTCACTCAGGCTTTTTTATGAGCACATGGCTCCATCAGAAGGCTGGAATTGAGAGTTGGTCTGTTGCAGTTAATATTAAGTGAGATACCAGAGGAAAAAGGTATGTTGCTCTCCTCTGGACATGCAGAAAGAATAAAGCAGAAAGTCTTCCTGTGCTGACTTACCTATTTGTCCATATTCATGTCCAGAATCATGTTTTAATTTTTTTTGGCAGAGGGATGGATAAAAAATCTTAATTTAGTATATGCTGCATATTGGAAGTAATCACAGTAAGTGATAAACAACTATTAATGTGTTTGTGTTGCATATAAAACCACATGCAAATGTAACAGCATTTCAGGCTGTTCTTAAAAGGTGTTTCATATGTTTGTAGGGGGAAAAAAAGCAGGTTGCTCAAACAATTTCTGAAAAACAGAAGAAATGTGTTAGGCTGTACTGCATCTGGTATTAACACAGTAGCGCTGAAACAAAATATGGCAGACAACTGATTAAATAAATACTAAGTGCAAATACATTACAACATTTGAACCCTGAAATTGTATCTAAGTTGCAGCACATCAAATCCTGTTGCACACATTTTGGTAGTGATTTTTTTATATATTTTTTATAATCAAGAATGTTTTTGCATGATACAAAGTGAGTAATTCCTAAGATCTCACATTATCACAGTAATATCACGGGGGTATCTCTGGATTGTCTCTGTCCTACAAATATCCTACTCCAAATGTCTGACTATAGAAATACAGCAAGCAACCGCAACAAGCAACCTGAGGAAAAGAATTAACACTTGATAGTTAAAATACATGATTTTCCTCTTCACTGTCCTTTCAAATATGGACACACAACTGAATATATGACATGAGAAATAAAACTTTTAATAAGTATGCACATATTTATCTGAACTTTTAAATAATATCAAAAAGGTCTCTGATTATATTATCATAGTATATATATTATTCATGCTTGTTTGTATTCCATTTGTGAAATTGCATATAGACTAGGTTACTAATTATATTTATTTTTTCCAACTTTCCTGTCTTTCTCTTCCTGAATGATACACTCTCATGATGGTTGCTCTGTGCAACTCCCTAGTACAGCTGCGGTGACGGGGAATCTGGTTGTTTCACTGACCACAGCAACCGCCTCATCAGGCCCTTCCCTCTCTGTGCTTCTCTTCAGCATGATTAAAGATGGCGCTGCCATTTTGGAGTGTGGACCCTCCAAAAGTGGTGTGAGGCTCCCCATAAAGCAGAATTGGAAAGTTCTGCTGCATGGGTTACCCATGCACTGCATTTATATATACGTGTGTGTGTGTGTGTGCATATGCATATATATATATATATATGTATAAATTTTCAAAACTGCTTATCCCTCACTTTCACAAGTATTACATTACTTTCTGGTTCCACCTTTCAAAATTTTTTTTGTTCATTTAAGCATAAAAAACTGTAGTAATCACAATATATATTTTTCACATCTTCAGTTCAGCACAACCGTCTTAAAATGCATATTAGAAGATTCTGAGTTCTGGCAGTTGGTGTTATATAAAGTAACTCCCACTAAATATGAGAAGGACTCTCCTTCTGGGCAGTCCTACGCATACAGCTAAGTCTAAGGGTGGAAAAGGGCAGTGGCATTTATGAGCATCAAATATTCAATGAAGTCAGAAAAGTTCTAAGAAAGCCATTAAAATTACTGCACATAATGTAGAATTAATCACTTTACGTGAAACTGATCTTTCAGAGAGGACTTCTCAATTAAGAAGAACAATTTTGGTGGTTTTACATTCACTGTAATGACTTTAACAACTGATGTGCATTTTATTTATAATAAGTTGAGCTATGAGTTTTGTGGTGGGAGGTGAGGACCACGGCAAGCTCTTAAGTTGTGATATTATTTAGGCTATCTTTATACCTCTGACTGGCCATTAATTGATATTAATGTTATTAATTGTTTCATTTCCATAAAGACATGATGTAGCCCATACCTGAATTCTCCAGCAGATGCAATATGGAAATACTGACCAAGTCACTAATGTGAGAAATGCTTGAACATGTGATTGTATACATGTGGCTTGCTACAAAATAATGCCAGCAGCTGATTAGATTAAATGACATGATGAAAATGGTGCTAGTAGAGTGTGCGTGTTTTCCCTGTACTTCTCCATCACCCTTTTCTTAGTGTCTGTTCTGAATTGTCCCTTCATTTTTTTTCAACAAAGGCAAGTATGCGATGAGGGATCTGGTCCACCGACTGCCAGGCACAAACAACAGCAACAGCTCGGCAAGCAAGGCCATGTCTGATGACACCGTTACTGCCATTTGCTGCACTCTGCATGAAGTCATCACTAAAAACATGGAGAATGCGAAGGCCTTACGAGACGCAGGCGGCATTGAGAAACTGGTTGGCATATCTAAGAGTAAAGGAGACAAGTATGTTTCGCAAATCACCGTGCACCTTTTGTAACCTCTCCGGTAGATATCATTAGTGCTGAATGTGTTTGCCTCTTCCGTGTAGTCATGAGTTGAGTACTTGAGTTCCATCAAAAGCCCAGTGCCCAGGGTGAAAGGTGGCAAGAAACGGACAAAATTAATAGTAAAAGTCTCTGTCGTGGTTCATTTCTGACCTACTTTCAGCAGATGTGTGTAGTTTAAGGAAGAGTTATTACTACAATAAATTCTACCTCCAAGCACTTCCAGAAGATCCTTATAAGCATTAGTTGTGAGACATGATGTATTAGAGCTGACGGATCCACTCTGCAGAAAGAGTGGATGGATCCTGTGAAAGGAAGGAGTCTCACATAGGTTGTGTTATTGCTTCACTTGTTTGGTGCCTGAAGGACATAAAGTCACTGTCCCTCTTTACAGCACCCTTTCCCCAGCCACTTCCCCAGTCTTGTAAGGTGGGGTGTATTAGAAAAGTGGATCCAGGCATTTTTCTAATGCCTTGCTTCTGAGAGAGCGCTACAATATCTACAGGCTACTTGATGAGGTTCCAAAACATGCAAAAATCTTACACACAGCTGGGACATTTTCGGAGCAGCTATGGTTTCATCCTGTCCATTTTCCCGTGTGTGCAGTCTGCACAAAGAGTTCATTCTCTATCCTTCTTCTGCCTGAAAGAGATGGTTCTCATATTTGTCAACCAGCACAAGTACAGTGCAATTTTGTTGGAAAACAAAAAGCCTGCATTCACTGTAGTGTTCAAAAGCTCCTTCCAGTCCACCTCCTTGATGCTGCCAGCACACAGCCTCCCGCAGCGTCAGAGCTCTACAAGAGCCCCGCAAAGGCAGGCCATCGTGAGAAGGGAGGATTTATGCACCCTACACTGGCCTGTGTGACTGGAGCATTGATAATGTAATTTCATCACATTTCTTCTCCTCTACAGTCATTCTCACTGTAAGAGTTAAGAAGTAGCAGTGTAAGACAGCTTGTGATTCCAGTTGTATGAGCTCCTATGCTCTGTTAATTTGCTTAATTTGCACTTTTTATTATAATTAAATCTATTTAAAATTCAATATATATTTTGTTAGCTCAAAGGTATGGGTACTGCAAACAGCTTCACATTAATTTTTCTTTAGTTGAATGTTTCTTTGATGAGAATAATGCATTTATCTTCCATGTACAGTATCTGGCAGAGATTCTTAATACCTCTTGAGTCTGGAATTTTAGAAGTTTTTTGGGCAGTTTCAGGAGGCTCAAATTATCTAATGACATGAGCATGACTGAATGACAGTATTTGGCCAAAATTCCCAAATTCCCTCCAAAACCATGATACTTGTCCCATCTCTAAAGTACTTTGAGTTATAGTCATGCCTTATTTCTGTTACAGGTTACACAGTTCTAGAACAAGAAAATCTGTCAACTCACAGTGATAGTGTCTCTTAGAAGAGACTTTTGTTTTTACCTTTCAGAACTCAGCACCATTGTTTCGGTTTGGTTTCATATAGGAAACCTATTATTTAAAATTCAAAATTGCTAGTCGATGATCTGACATACTCAGTTTGATTAAATAGAACCCTAGAATATCAATCTAACTAGCCTGGAGTGATGCATTTGTTTCTGAACACAAGTCTGGCCCTGTGTCCTCATAGAAGCCTAGGGCACAGGCCGATCAAGGCCGGGATTGTCATGGTGGCCCAGCTGGCCCTTGGAGCAGGCCCGGGGCTTCGGCGCGTTCCCCGTATGATGACATGATAAAACTGATGTCACTAGGCTCATATTGGCCAAACCAAGGGCTTCTCCGGGTTCCTGTTTCTCCTCAGTATTCCCAGCACAATTGGCACCGGTGTCTTCTTGGTTGCTCTGTGCTAACAGCACCCCACCTGCCAGTACAGCTGGGAGGGTAGTGAAATGATTATGCTTGGAAGTGTTCAGCAAATTCCCATTTATTCAGCAATTACCCACCCACTGCTGTATTCTGGGTGAGAAATGGGGAAAAAAATACCAAATTAATTACTAGGGGAATACCATATAAGCTAATTGAATTGACTCTGTTATCAACATTATTTTACAGCTTTGTTGTCTGTGTACCTGTGGCCCTACACAGAGGCCACAGAAGGTAACAGGACCAGACACATATCCCGGCTGCTGCCCAAAACAGTAACATATGTGGCTGGTTTTCTGGTTTCTGTTTTGTTTTGCAATCCTTGCCTTTTTCTGAGTAAAACATGAATCAACTCAATGACTGCCACAGGCTTCATCACTCTTCACTTCAGACCTTGGCCTTTGCAAGGTTTTCTAGGGCTCTGCTGCTTCATGTGTATTACTAGAACAGCATAAGGGCTTGACTGCCCAATGTATACACCCAAAAAAGTGGACTCTTGCCCTGTCCTCTCCATTTTGACCCTTCCTCACTGAGCTGAATACTCACTACTTTTTTAAGAAAACATATATATTATCTATCCCAGGAGGAATATATGATTCCAGCTGCCTGCAATAATAGCTCAGAGCTTTTTTGAAATTTTTCTGAAGGGAAAGTCGATGCAAAGTTGCATATTTCTCTTAACATAAATGTTTGCCATTCTTCATGTGTAATGGTGTATGCAAGATACCAGTCCAAATTTGTGTTCCAGATGAAATTCATGATGTGAGTGTATAATCAGCTGTATTTCGGTGTCTTGACTACTTGGCAGCTGCAAACACAGTGCTCATCACCCATCTAATGTGTTTCTTCTGGCCACTTGGAAGAGGCACTTCATGCCTTGAGCACTCTGCCATGACTTAAAGTTTGGCAGACTTAAAGTGTGGCTGTAAATTCTTGCCGCTTATGCCAAAAGTTGTAGCCAGGACATGTTCATGGATGTACTTTATGCCATATCCTCAACAGTATTCTGTTGCTACCTCTCCTATTCCTCCTGTCCCGTTCTCAACGTGAACCCTTGCTCTCAGTGTATTGAGGAACATACGTATTGCCTCTCACTGAAGAATTAGTGATATAGAAATAATGTGTGTTATCCATCTTTAAAAAAATGTTAGTCTCCAACAGGCTAAACAAACGATCTTACAGCACTTTGATAGCACAACTTTAAATGTGGGTTTAAATCCATAGCAATGTATCTGAAAATTGGGATGAATGGAGTCTTGTGCTTAACAGTCTCTTTCTCACCCTTTCTCTCTCTCTCTCTCTTTTTAATATATGTATATACAACAGGCATTCGCCAAAAGTGGTGAAAGCAGCATCTCAGGTCCTCAATAGTATGTGGCAGTACAGAGACCTGAGAAGTCTCTACAAGAAGGTAAGGCTTGGGTTTTTTTCCAGATTTGCCTTTTTTCATACAGTTACTGAAATTTAGAGGCTGAGAGACTTCAGACCAAACATTTGTATGAACTGGAAATTCACCTAGTTTAAAATTTCAGATACTTTGATCTATAGGATTGTTTCTTCCATTTCTACTTTTAACATAGAAATAGCTTACAAAAAGTGCAGTGTTAAAAGAATTGTGAATTTGATTTTCATATGAGTGCTTACAAAAGAGATCTGGACAACCTTAGAGAGTGAAGTCCTCTGTTTGCAAAACAAACCCGTGCAAACGCTCCTACTGTACCTTTCCTATTTCTGCCTTCCCACCCTGTCTTAATATCCTCCCTGAGAATATTAGCAGATTTCCAGCCTTTTGCCTTCCAGATTTCCTCATGGGATTGCCAAAAAGGCTACCAAAGGGAATGGTGCTTTGGGACCAATGTGCAAATGGAGCTGTCTTTAAACTTGTTAGATTCACAATCAATGAGCTGGCAGATGTAGTCTGTATAGTCTATAGCCTATATAGTGTCCATATAGTCCATAGTCTATAGAAAGCACCATACCAGTCCCACAAGTCCCCGGCCCTCTTACATATGAATTGCAATACTGGTAATATGATCCTGTGAAACAACAACCTGTTGACTAAATGACAACATATCAAAATAATTCTTACAGAATATCTGTAAACACAGAATCACAGAGCAATATAACCATCAGCCTGCAGATTTTTTTTCTTGAAGGTCTTTTTACTACATGGAATTTTACAGCTATCAAACCGATGTTTGTATTTGTAACCTCAGCAAATAGACTTGAGACTTCATGTGGCACAGGAGTTCATGTCCTGACTAAGAGTAAGGCATAAGGATGATGAAATGAGGAAAAGTTCACAAATGGCAGAGTCTGAGCTATCTATATTTAGCATGAGAAAATAACAGATAACTTGTGAGAAGTGTATGTGCCAAATAAATCTGAGGCTGGCTCAGGCTGATCTTTGGTTTGAAATGCTGTTCTCTTGTGTGCCTCCACTCTTGCTTGTGTCAGCCTGGCAGATAAGGAAGGTTATCGCTGAGTCTCTCCCATTTCTCGCACCCAGTAGCCTCAAACACCCCAACAGCCCTAGAGATGTCTTAGGCACAGACGTTCCAAGTAAGGAGATGGAGCCCATGGAGAGCTGGAGAACCCCTGAGCTGGAGTCTGTGTTTCTGAGGCAGTCACTCACCTGTGTGCATAGTCTGACTCCTGCACACGCGCAGGGCTGCCCTGTAGAAGCTGAACTTCATTGCACCTAAATCTTTCGGAGGTTCCCTTCCCTTCCAACCCTTTGACTACCTGTACATGAAACGGAAAGGCAGTTTCTGGGGTTGCTCCACGGATGATCTAATCTATGGTCTGTATGGGTTTTGGGCATGTTGCTGCATAAAGAACTCTGCTAGCTGCCAAAGTGTGCCTGGTAATGTTATTCCATGTTCGGCATGCTTGGCTACTCGGTACACTGCACACTTGAAAGAATGTGTTCTGAGGCCACAAATATTGAAGTAGTTACCATAATTTAAGATCCTCATGTTTGTTAAAAGACATGCAATAATCTTTATGATGCCATAATATTTATAAAATTTGAAAATGGTAGGTTGTTTGTTACACTGGATGTCTATTTTTTACTAATGATGGGGAAAATGATTTTTTTTATATTAGGACAATTGCAAATTTGCATTTTTGCCAGTAAGGCAGCTAATCATGTAATATAAATATACTTGGTCAATACAGTCTTTATTTTGTCCCATTAAAATACTTAGGTCTGTAGAAATGAGTGAACATACAGCTACTCTGTTATGATCAGCACTTTTCAGTATTCTGCACTTGCATCACCATCAGCAATTTCCTCATATATCCTGAAATACCTGTACAATTACTTTCGGAGAATTGGTAACATTCAGAGAGGCAAAATTTTGTATTGTAACACAGGCAAATGACAGTATCACAGTAGAAGCAGTAGCACTTATTTTTACTCTTTGGGGAGTAGTGTAGCTGAATAGTTCAAACCATGGTATGTTTTAAGAAGTGTGTGTTTGCAGTAGAGAAGGTAAGGGAAGATGACAAGATTAAACGTATTATCCTTTCTATTAATGAAATGAAATAATACGTTTACTGCTAGTACAATAGTGATTAGTCCAAATACATGGCTGTATCAGAAGAACATGACTTCTGCACTCTTCTATTTTTGCTCAACTTCACAAGCATCTGCCATCCCTGGCGGGATATAAACTGCATGACGGAAAGTTCATCCAGAGCTGGGGACCAGTGTGGTAGGTCACTTGGTGACTTGCTATGCCTGTTAGAGGACTAAAGGTCAAGATCTGCTGCACCCTGGGATCCCCAAGATCCTGCAAAAAAAAAGGAGAGTTGAAGGTTTCCGTGTTATTTTCGTCATTTGCTTGCTGGAGCAGGGACACTGAGAAAAGCTGGAAGTGCTTTTCAAATAGCTTTTACACTGTGTTTGCAGAGCTGTGTCACGCTTGGTACCCTCCACCAACAGGTTCTGGGACCTCCCATCCATAGTTGGGTGGTGGCTTTAATTGGACACACCAGCTTGCTAAACTGAGCAGAAGTGGAAGAGGTGCAGAAGGGCAATTCGAGTCGACGTTCAGGTCTGTGAGTGAGGTGGTGGTGTTTGCCACACACTGTAGGCTTATGCTTTGGAAAAACAGAGAATTTCACCCTTTGGTGTTGCTAATTTGGCACAATACCCACAAAGTCCAACAAGAGGAAGTAATTAAAAGCATAAATGTTTCCTGTTGCTAAAATCAAAGAAAAAATCTTATCAGAACAAGGTAAAATGAATGCAGTCTTGAGGTGAAGTTGTCAGCCATCCATCACTGTTCCCCCAAATGTCAAGGGTCTTCTGCTCTACCGCAAAGGTAGTGCTCTGATGTTTTGTCCCAGTTGGCTGATTCTCAATTTTATCTTAAGTAATACTATTTTGGGAAGCCAGGGAGTGATAAGAAGCCATGAATTATCAGTACAGTAGAACTGAGAGGGAGAAATTCAAAGAAGTGAACATGTCACTGTGCTTCTTAAAGCACTTGAACTACAGTTTCTAAACAAAATATTCATACTCCTATCCTCTAAAGAGGAAAGCATGGTTTGGTCCCATATAAACAATGTTTAAATCGATTAGTGTGAGTAATTTATAAATACTGCTAGAGCAAGGGAGAAAGAAATCATCATCGTAATTTTTCGTCGGTAGGTGAAGTATTGTCTCCCCCAAAACTGGCTTAAGAGTCATGTCATTTTCCTACTTTTTTTCTGCAAATAAGGTTTACATTTTCATGGGCAGATGAATGATCATTTATGCTCCAAGTGAGTAACACTGGATCGCACTCCAATCTCTGATGTCCTAGCTGGCCGAAAATATAGGGACACCTTGGAAGATGTGGCCATGACCATAAGAGAGCAGGTTCCAATCAGCCACAGATGGTCGATGCTGTATCTCTTGGTACTCATGAAGACAACCAAAACAAGCTCTTCAACACAAACAGCTTGTTAAATTGCAGGAGAAAATTTACACATGCAAATATTATCAAACTCCAGAGCAAAAGGGATGGGCAAAAAGGAGGCTGAAATAAGCTAACCAGAAAGAAAATTTATTAGCTAAAAACAAGCTTCAATTAGCACTAAGTGCATGTAGTACTAAAAGGCAAGAGAAACTGTCACTAAGAATATGTCACCTGTCAATTAGCTTGCCTTGCCTAACCGCTTAGGCTACAACAAAATATCTGTTTATGTTCTGACATTATGTCTGCCTTTATTCTGCCAGCAACAATGTAAGCAGAAATCACAATTTGTAGAAATCTCTTTTTCTGTTTACTCATATAGGTTTGTGTTCTGTATGGAGAAATAGACATGTTTGTCCTGTTCACCTACAATACGAATAAAACCACACGAAATTATTTGCAGTGAGGGCAGCTATTAAAGGCAGTTGTCTTTCACTGAGTGCGGTGCCATTTGCAATAGGGAGCGTGTTGTGACAAGCATTTAACGAAGTGGAAGCAGTGGCTCCGAGGACGGCCTTGTCTGTCATTGGCAGGAAGAGATATTTAGAATTGCCGGAGGCCTTAAAAACTCTTAAGCCAGGCAGGAACTAGAAGACGACTCTCTTCTCTTGTGCCTTTCGGAATAATAAACTGATGACTTAGTGGGAAGGGAAGTCCCTTATTGCTAAATGTTCCATGAAAATTACCAGCAGTAAACTTGAAAATTCCAGTTACGTGATTCTAAAATCTGAGGTCCTTTCTCAGGTAAAATATACCTTTTCACCCTTTTGAAATATTAATTATATCATGCTATCCTGAAGATTTGGAACACAAAACTTGGATTGCTTCTGGTAATTCTATACATGTTTAGTCAGACATCCTTAAAAACGGGTACTGCCTTTAGGTCAAATCTATCCAGTCCAAATGTCAGTGCCTAACTTAAGCCCCACATTAAGGATTTAAATTCCAAATGCAGAACCTAATAGTTCCTCAAAAAAAAAAAAAAGGTGATTTGACTTTGATGGAACTATTCATGTGCTCAAATTATTCATGAACATGTGTATTTTACTGTACTTATCTTTCAGTGGAATTTAATGTGCTTCTGTAAGTTGGGGAGGCCTTTTTTCAGATGAGTGTGTCACCCTTTTAGAACAAGGATGGATTAATTCAAGGTGGTATCACCACTGTAATTTAAATCTGGAATGACTTTAGAGAAAAGGCATTGTCTAGAGCCCATTTCTATATAATTATGTGAAATACAAGTACCTGATTAATGATTGACTGATTGGTTGATTTATGGCAGTGGGCGGCCCCAAGCTTCAGTGTGGAGGACAGAGGATTTTCACCTACCCATGAGTCTGGGTCATGGCACTCTCAGCACATTCCCTCCCAGAGCCACGAAACCAGAATCTATTCCCAAACTCAGGTATTCTGGCTGTCAGCTGGTCAGTTTGGAATTGTTATGTTTAATGCATCCTTAGATTTGTGCCCAGGAGACTTCTGCAGAAGACAGTAACAAATAGTAAGAATTAGCACAACTGAGCATCTTGCAAGAGGCCTTACTGAGTTTTAGACATCAACCTTCCATTTAGTTAACCGAGTATAGTCTTTTATTTTTTTCCCCCAGAGAAAATGTGACCGTGTGGCCGTATTGTAAGAACAAAACAGCATCTGCTGCATGCATACAACATGCAAGTAAATCCATGTGTAAACCTTTACACATATGTATTTTATTTCTGATAAAATCCATAGAGAGCATGTGAATCTGTGTGTTTCTGCTGATCACATAGGACATAGCTGTTATAATTTTCCTTCCAGTTTAATTTGTTTTTCTGATGAATTTGCTTATAAGAGAGAAAGCATCAGAGATTATCTCTTTTAAATAACTCAGACATAAATATTGTTTAAGGTTAGGGTAGATCCTTTTAAGCTTTAGTTAACAAAAATTTGATTTTTTAAAACCACAACATTTTGTCATCTTATGTGTGACACTGCTTCTTGTTAGTGAAGAAAATTCATAAATTCATTCTAAATAAAGGAAATGAGAAAATTATTTGAGTAATTCAAGCTTTCTTAAAATGTCACCTAGGTAATTCTGGAAGAGATGGATTGTATAAACAATATAGAAGTTATATAAGCAATACAGAAACATAATAAATAATGTTGTATAAACAATATAGAAGAAATTGAAGAAATACATAATTTTCTCTCTCTTTTTTTTAAAAAAAATCTTGTTTCAGTCTCTTTTTTGCCTAAAACCATGTTTCTTTAAATGAGTTTTAACTGTGACGCTTTATCTCATGGCAATGCAGTTAAATGCCTACTCATGAAATGGTCATTGGTTTCAGTGCCAGAAAAGGGGAAGGTATCATTAGAGGCTTTTTCTGTGATTTATGATTATCAGTTATACATTATATGCTGTATATTAATTTCCAGGGTTCAGAATAAAATGTAGATATGATTTCTTCATTAAAGTATTTTCATCAGGAAATAGTAGCTGCAGACCAAAAAATAATTTATCTTTACACGTTCTTTCTTAGGGACACAAAGCCTCTTAAGCAGGGAATGATATGTTAGTCTGCAATATTCCTTGTTCTTTTTCAACCTGATATAACTTTTTTCACCACTATTAGCAGTAGGCTGCATCACTGTGTAGCATAAACTTACCTAACTTACCTCGTCTTTTTACTGCATCTGCTGTGCCAGAGATGGGTTTTCTAAAGAATGACAGAAAACCTTTTCAGATACCTTTTGAAATGTACTTGTGTTTTGTTGCTGGTTTCCTGTTTAAATAATGATTGGTCTGTCATGTTTAGTGCGTAACAGACTTCACCTATTTTTGTCACTATGCACTTGATATAGCTAAGACTTGGTGAAATTCTCCTCAAAGGCTTATTTAATGTGCAGCAGTCGTGTTTTGGGTTTTATGCCTTTCACTGTAAAACAGTTTCCACGTTTACTGTTGAATTTTAATTAATTAGCAAAAATGTTAAAATCTAGTCTACGCTGAATTAAAGATTCAGAACGGATAATGGTATTTCCATGTATTTCAGGCCTATGTAGCTGAAGCCAGCCTTTGCCTGCCCTTCTGTTTTGGTGGGAACTTTTATACTTAAAGGCATCCAAAAAAAAATCAGTTGTGCTGACTTAGCCAAATTAAAGCCTAACTAATTCCCACCCTTTGAAAATATCTGTATGTCTGCATGACTATATACCTATATCTTTGCAGGTGTATATGTGTGTGTGTGTGTGTGTGTGTGTGTTGTTTCTATATTGTTGCGTGTGTGTGTATATGGATGTATCAATGTATGTTGTTTGTACGAAAAATTCATCCCTGACCCCAGACAGGGCTGAAAAACCGTGGCTGATGCCACTGTCTTTAAGCAAAATGTCTGAACAAAGTCACTTTGGGAATTCCTATACGAATAAACCTGAATGAACGGTTTGAGGTATGATCTTTGAACGTGAATGCAGCTCTACTTGTGAGCATTGCTTCACCCACTGGTGTCTTGAAGGTGCGCTGGTGCTTCTCTTTAACATGCAATATTGTAGCAAGCCCTATGGCTTAGCAGGGATTCCTCTAAATTGTCGGTAAGAGGTGTGAGGAAACGCGTTGCCAGCAGGTCGAGGGAGTGGATCCTGCCCCTCTGCTCAGCTCTGGTGAGGCCGTATCTGGAGTGTTGGGTGCAGCTCTGGGCTGTCCAGGACAAGAGGGATGTGGAGCTTCTAGAGAGGGTCCAGCAAAGAGCCACGAAGATGGTTAAGGGACTGGAGCATCTGTCGTATGAGGAAAGACTGAGCTGGGCCTGTTTAACCTGGAGAAGAGAAGATTGAGAGAGGATCAGATCAATATGTACCCAAAGGGTACTTATGTAGGTGTGGAGTCTCCTTCTCTGGAGATTTTTAAAACACGCCTGGATGCCACCCTGTGCTCTAGGTGTTCCTGCTGGACCAGGGGGATTGGACTAGATGATCTCTAGAGGTCCTTTCCAACCTCAACCACTCTCTGATTCTGTGATTCTGTCCTACCATTTGCACCCCAAAAACACTAGTTTCAACAAGTGGTAAAGGAATTATCGATAAATAATAGATAAGATGAATCATACATATGTGTGATACTAAAAGATCCTTAGAATTGACAGTGATTCTCATAGTGAGCTACAGTAGACTTATGTGGGAACCACTGGGGTTTTACTTGAAAACTCCACTCCATTTTTAGGTGTCTAAGTAGAGATTTAGAAGGCAGCAATTAAATCTTTCAGTTCTCTAAAGTCTGTCTCCAAAGTCCTCCCCCTTTTGAACTTCTCTGGAGAAAAGAAAATTCAAAACGCAGCAGTCAGCGTCTTTGACTTGGAGCCTTCTTTCTGAAAGGAATTGTATAACTGAAGTTTCTAAAATATCCATAGGTCTAGAGATACAAAGAGGCATCCAGAATCTGAAGGGGTATGCATATGTGAAAGGTCACATCTACAGACTCTTTTTCTTCTCAAAACTACAGTATCTCAGAATAAGGTGAGGTTTTAATAGTTGAGTAAAAAGTGAACGCCTGACAAATTCATTTATGTCCTTTTGGACTGGGACCTTTTAACTCTAGTTAAATAATACATTAATATTTTGGAAACAAATATAAACATTACTCAATGGCAAACAAAGTTAAGCTAGATTCAAAGGGTCAATACAGAAAATAACCCGAAGTCTGGGTCATTGTGCATATGTAAAGATAAAAACATTGGTTTTTATTGATATACACTGAGTTGAACCATTTTTATTCATGTCAGTTTTCTTCCACAGAAATCATTCAAGAAACATGATTTCTAGCATTCAGAACTAAATGTCATTCTTAATTAACTTGTATTCTCCATGTCTGCATACCTAGGTTTAGACAAGCTGAAAGCACATTTGCAGTAAAGAGAATGGGCAATCCAAATGAGAAACTGAAAAATTAGGGTGCATTTGGGAAACTCAACGGTTTTCACAGCAAACTTGAACTGACGTGTTTGATGACTATTTAGCAGTTTTGCAAATGAATCAGACCAATCCAACTTTCACTAATCCAGGAACATGCAAGCAGCACAGGGAGGGTGCAAGTGTCAGATTAAATTTAGTATTCTGGTATTCAAGGCAGGTTCTTTTCAGAGGAAAATGGTCTAGCTGTGATCCATAACATTGATCATCTTTTGCTGATGTTTCCTGTATGGTGCTGTGCTCAACCATGATTCTAGTTCTGCTGGCTCCTATACAGAGATTGAAAATGTTTTTTCACTTGACCAATACATGTAAATTAAGTCATAGTTTCATTGATTGAATATTAAACTGGTATGTTGATACCCTACTTTCAATTCTTTGATTTTCTACATGAACTAATAAAGGATGCTGAAGAAATTGCTGGGAAGTACTCCATTCTTCTTCCCTCTTCTTAAGGCTCTTAATAGAATACAGATATGGCCTAAATATGTCCATCATTTCAGACTCTGAAAACGAAATCTGGTATTTTGAAAGGAATCTCCCTAATAATACTTCGGCTTTGTCTGAATTGTTTTACTTCCCTTAATCACTGAGATAGCTTATCTTGGTAAAAGAGTTACAGCTTCTTCTTATTGGAAAAAGTAGAAATGCAAAGTTTCATTGAAAGTCTCTGAATTACCCTTTACTACTTTTAGCTCTGCGAAGTACTTTTAGAGAAAATTGTGGTTCTTCTGAAACTACAGTTGTAAACTTCTGTGCAATAGTGTATTCTGTTTAGAATTGATAGAATTATGTCTGTCTTTTACTAAACTGAAAACTCCTAAAACTATTCTGGTAAAAATTATTATGCATTTCTCTTCCTTACTGTTTGAATTGCTAAATAATCTATGTTTAAGGGTACAGAAATCATACAAAGACTAGAAATCATACAGCTTAATAACAGCCATTCAGCTCTGTAATTATCTAATTTAAGTGTACTTGTGCAAGAACTCTGAAACTGAAACCAAAGATAGTATGAGAATATGTACTGATTCTTTAAAAGTGGCACTAATTCCTTGATTGTCAGAGGCTCCCACATTTGGATAAAATAGTCCCCAGTTTTTCACTCTTCAGGAAGCACAAAATCTGAATCAGTCTAGATCACAGTCAGAATCATTAGTCCTGCTATGTTATTCACCATGACAAAAGATAACTATGCAGATATTATTCTAAAAATGATTTTATTGGGTTTTATGTTTACAGATAGAGTGGATAAGTTATGTGGGGTTTTTTTGTTATTGTTTATCTTTTGTTTTGATGCATACAATGTAAGAGATGTTGATTTGTTGCTTTTTTCTGACCTTTGTAAGGCCTTAAGGTCTGATCCCAGACATAAAATAGAAGAGTATTTTTCCTACTTTGTAGGATTTTGTAGGCAAGAGTCGGAGTTTGCATTTCTAAGGCATAAATGTCTTAAGACAG